GCAAGGGCAAAGTCCTGGTCTAAATTATCCCTACAACTCAATCTGTGCCACACGGCCCAGTTATAGGAGACACTCTCTGTGTTGTTAAGCGCTGGATGGATAGATAGATGGATAGATGGATGGATGGATGGAACCTCACACTGATCCATGATTACCCATTTTAAAGCCCTTTACATTGTCTGTCTATCATCCTTACAAAATCAGGCACAGCGTCATTTACACCCAATTTAGCAGTGAGGAGATGGAAGCTCAGAATGACCAGTACTTGAAGTCGTCCAAAAACAGTTCATGATTAGGTGTTGCATTTAAGATTCAAATCCACATCTGCTTGAACCCAGATCCCATCACCATTCCACCATTCAGCACTGCCTCCCCTAAGTAATCTGTTCTTCTAACTCATATCATCCTTTGAATCACGGGAAGAAAACCCCCCAAAAGCAAATAAAAGTAGATGGAAATTAATTCATAAATAGGCAATAGAATGAATTTGTGACATTAAATTAACTAAGCGAGATAGCCTTTGGAAAAACAACCCTCAGAGAAGGCCAGGCTTTATCAACATTTCCCCAGTTTGAAGCACCTTACTGAAACTTGTCTATGGGCAAGAAGGCTCTGCGACCACAGCAGGACTGTGGTATTGCACCCAGCTCAGGTGTTTGGTGAACCAGCAGAAAAGACACACAAGATAGGAAGAGAATTGTACTTTGAAGAAGAAAGAGGAGAACAGAAACAAGAAAAGGAGGTGGGGTATAAGAGGCGGAATGGGGCAGGGGAGGAGGTGGGAAGAGAGAATGACAATCACAATAATACTTTAAAAACCAATAAGACCACCAGCTCATAATGTTGTACTTTGCTTTATTATTTAGAAAGCATTTTGCATTAATTTGACCTAAAGTCACGTATCATTATTGCAGTCTGAAAATTGTTTGAGGTCCAGAAGTCTCTGTCTCCTTGGTTTTCTACAAACAGAGCACAGGCTGGCCGGATTCTGGTGGATCCTTGCTGTCTTTTCCTGGTCCAAAGCCAGGTTTATCCTGTGACTCATTCCCTCACTTGTGGGAGGGATTAGCATGGTGTCCTGCAGGATAAAAGAAGCTGTGTGCAGTCACCTCCAGAGTGAGTTCTGTCTTCTGTGCCTCACTGGACTGAACAGCCAGCAACAGCGGCTCAGACATGAAGCTGGTGACGGTCCTCATGCTGGTCGCCCTCCCCCTTTACTGCTATGCAGGTGAGTACTGACAGGGGGCACAGGCTTTGGGATAAGCTTGTTGTCCGGTCCCTTGTGCAAGATCTCCCCATCCCAAGCTCCAGCACAGGGCAGGTCTGTGTGCCACAGACCTAAGGACCAGCACTAATCGCAGGAAATCTGAAAGAAGGGCCTGTGTGGGCACCGCCTCGGCTCTGCAGCTGCACGTCGTGTCTCGTGCCATTCAGGGCGTCCCACCATCACCACAGGTACCATAAAACCAGGATGAGTCTTGTGATCGAAAGTTAGAATTAGGTATGTCAGTGGGGCAAGGGAATGGCAGGCTCTGATGAGCCCCTACATTTATATCCACGTGGGTTTCCTGAAAGCAACACTCATGGAGTCTCCTTCAAAATGGAAACAAACAGGAAACCTCCCAGGAGAAAAGGCTCAGGCTGTGGGGTGTGACCCTGTGTTTCCCACCGAGTAGGGAAACCTCATTCTTCACACATTTTCAGAGTAGATTTGAGCCCTTTTTCTGGAATGGCCTTACTCCCAGTCTCTTCCCACTCAAAGGTGACTGAGGAGAACGGCTCACACACTTGGAGGTCTCCTTCCACAGTGAGGATCCAGCTAGAGAGAAACGCCCCGGCAGCTAGACTCTGGTCTTCAGTAACATGACACACACCTAGTTTGCTTTGTTCAGTTTACAAGCCTCTTTTAAATATCCCACCTCATTTGTTCTTGAAGTACGTGTAGATGTGCTCAAGGTGACAGGCTCAAGGTCAAGTAAATGGAAAGCTGCCAACGCGAGAGTAAAACTTAGCTCTCGTGGATCTGATTCTAGAGCTCTTTCCTCTTCCCAACTCAAGCAGACACAGAAGAGCACTTCACAGACAAGAATTTCATTCTTATGTTATTCGCTGTTGCAGAAAATAATTACCATCCACAGAGCTAATGGACAATTTTCTATACCCAATTCATTGACAATACTGGGAAATGCCAGTTGCTGCTGTGATGATAATAGTGAAGCATCACATGGCTCCAAACAAAGAAAGACCAGATAATGTTCAATAGGTTGCACTACATCAGAGCATCTCATTTCTCCAGTGTCCTCCTTAATCAAGCTTAAATAGTATTTGACATCTCCAGGCTAACAAGAGGAAGGGAGATGTTTTAGGACTTAAAGAAATCCCAGATCCTGAGTTTCCTCTCATAGAATTCAAAACTCAAGCCCATTCACAATCTTCTTTCTGAATATACGTGTCTCCTGGGATGTAAGAGGATGACAAACATCATGGTTTCACCCCAAAGAGCCCACGTTTGCATGCTTTCTTCCCAGGTTCTGGCTGCTCTGTTCTCGAAAAGGCGGTTGAAGATGGAATCAGTCCTAATGTGTCCGTGGCTGAATACATACTCTCTCTTCAAGAGTTCATAGACGATGAAGACACTGCAAATGCCATAAGGGAACTTAAGCAATGTTTTCTCATCCAGTCAAATGAAACTCTGGACAATTTCGAAGTGATGATGGTAATTTTGGCTTTTTCTGATATGTTTTAGAACCATGGGACAGGGGCACACAGGCTATGGGTTTGTCACTCCTTATGACAAAGCAAATGATGAATGTGTTTTATTTCCATTGATGTCATTGTGTGGTTAGTCTGATGACTTTGACATCAAGAAAGACTTCCAAGGCTGCAGAGCTGATTTGCCACTTTGTGAAATCTTTAGTGAATGGTAAGTGAAAAAGACAAAAGAGGGCAAAGACAATTCAGACAAAGACAATTCATGCAAAGGATTACCTGCCCCCAGTTCCCCAGTACACACAAAGGCACACAAACACACACACACACACACACACATACATATACTTTCTATCAAGGTAAACAACACCTGATTTCAAGAAGTCCTTCATTTGTAAGAGTGATCAGCAAAAAAGATCCCTTTTGTCAGAAACTGTAAAATATTTTAAGAACATTTCAATAGAGCCCAGAATATACCATTTGAGAAAGACTCCATACACTTTTTTAAAAGAATTTAAAATGCACTTGCAAGCAATCAAAATTTGTGAGCATGAACAATTGGATTCCTCGACGATTAATGAAGCACCTCAGGAATGACAAATGCAGACCGTGGGCATGACTCCACCATGGGGGATGGAAGTGTTTAAATCTAAATTCAGTAGTTTAACAATGAGTGATTCTCTCTAATTACAAATTTATATTGTTGAGTTTATTCAAGCATTTACCTCCTCTTCTATTATATTATTTGAAACATTCCATGCTAGACAATTTAGAAATATTACAAAAACCATATGGATAAAAGGGAACATCACCTAAGGAGATTTTTCACATGATACATCACTGATGACCCTGAGGACATTGTGATCAAGGAAACCAGCCAGTCACAAAAGACAAAATACAGCATGACCCCGCTTACACCGGGCTTCAAGAATAGCCAATCTCACAGAAATGCAAGGTAGGGTGGTGGTTGACAGGGGCTGGGTGTTGAGGAAAATGGGAGATATTTTACAGGTATGGAGTGTCTCTGTGCAAGACGCAGACAGTCTGGAGACTGGTTGCACTGACTGCAAAGTGAATACGCTGTGAAGCATATTTAAAATGGTGACGATGGTAAATTATATGTTATATGAATTTGCTATCATTTTTAAAAAATTTTAATGAACAATCCTTGCAATTAAGGATGATGGGCTTTTTTTTTTTTCATGAAAACCTAGCTCAGGCTAATCACTCTTAGTGCACAGACGCAGTATTTTGTAGGCCACGAAGGCATGGTAGGGACATCAGACTATGTTCTATAGTTCTGACAGCAAGGCTGCACAGGAACTCAAAAATATCAAGTTCCCTCGTATTTGAGTGGAGATTTTAACCATTCTATGTTGAAAAATGGTACACATGCAACATAGTTCTTGGATAACTTATTTCAAGGAAACAAGAAATGTGCAGAATAAACTTGCCTA